AATTTTCATAATTTTTTGGTCGAAAATTTGTCAACAAACATTTTGACCAAGTTATTGGTAAAAAATTTGGTCAAAAATTAACATGTTTTCTTGACCAATTTTTAATCAATCTTCTTTGTCGCAAGTTTTCGACCATTTTTGACAAATTTACGAATCCGTTAAAAATTGATCGAAATTTTTCGACCAATTTTTGACTTTTATATTTCATCATATTTTCTTGACCAATTTATAACGAAAATAAATATTCGTCTAAAATTGGTCGAAAATGGTCAAAATAGTTTTGACCACAAAAAAAATTGATCAAAAATTGATATGTTTTCTTGTAATGATATATTTTCACCCACAAATATTAGTCTTGTGTAAATCTAGTTAAGAACTATTTGCTAACTTTCTAGAATTGCATTCTTCTGGTTCTTGACTTGTTGAAATACTACCAATTCAATAACTTTTTTTTTTGGATAAATACTATTCTTTTTTAAATAGCAAAATGGATAATACTTTTTAGTGAATTTTACTTTGAAAAATCACATTATTAGAAAAGCCACAAAATTTTGTTTTGTTCTCCGTTGAAACCTAATTAAATACATATAGTTTAATAATAAAAAAAAATAGAAGAGAAACTACCTAAAGTAAACATGTATATGAAAAAAAAAAAAAATTGGCGTATTCAATAATTACCTGACTTGGTTAAAATTTCACTAATTTAAAAGCATAAAGTTTCCAGTCTTTAGACTTTTTATTGGCTTCGATTGTCTCATCACTCATTTATGGAAATCTGACAACTGATTGATCACCACACTTTTTTTTTTCTTTCTCTCTTTTAATTTTTACAAAATTATTGATCAATCAAAAAATAATCCTTTCCGCATTCGGCCAACAAAAGACATAAGTATACAGTATTATGAAAACAAACATTTCTTGGCTGCTAGGCAATCCGCTGTTCTATTAAAGCTTTTGGTTCATGCACCAACTTGACATCCATAAAATAAACGCATAAGCCTTCCAATTCACTATGTTTTGCTTCTTGTTTACTAACTCACTCTTTTGGTCTTAGTTAGATCGTTTAAAACAAATCGATGGAATCCATTATACAGTAGAAACAGAACCGGCTATGTCTTTTCAGACACCCCATCGCCTTGAATCTTGATATATGCCATTCTACATAACAAAATGAAATCGTCTGGCGACTCCCTTAAAGGCCGAGTAGATCTATCATGACATTTTGTAATTGTAGAATCCATCCTAAACCACTTGTGGTATCATCATTTTTGCAAGATCTAGGTGTATGCATTCAATTATTCCATCTAGTTTGAATTTCCGTTTTTTGGATTATTGAACATATATCTCATTTGAGATTAAATTAAAATTCGGTTTGGTTAGAAAAATTTGGTTCGGTCCTTATTTAGTTTTGGTTTGAACAATAAATGATAAACAAAAATAAAAAAATGAACTAAATTTAATTAATATTATAGATTTTTAGTATATTTAAATGTAATTATAAAAATTGCTAATGAATTTCAGTTTGTAATATTTCGATTAGGGTTCGGATTCAAGTATATATATATATATTTTTTTTTACAATTTTGGATTCAAGTATTTTCGTTCCAAGCTAATGCATATCTTTTGAGTTTTAGAGGATCAAAACAGTAATGACCAATGTCTTTTTTATCATTTAGAAGATGTACTGCCGGCCACTGATATGTTTGTTGGAAGCGATCGTGAACATATAAGCATTATTGCGTGTGTGATAGATCTTTATAGTTGTAGTGGTTCTGTCTAGACACAAATACCCAAAATATTCCTGAAGTTCTCTTTTGGTCTTATGAGAGATTATTTTTCCAAAAGTGATTGCTAATTTTTCAAAAGTTATATGTTGTACTGGTGCATTACCATAAATCTAGAGGATGTACATAATCACGTCACATTGATTTCGGAAAAAACTTTGCTCACGCAAATATTGTGTCATCCGGGAATCAAAGATATCGAATGAAAAATAATCTCTAATAAATAGTAAACCAAATGAAAAAGTAATCACACGCGAAAAATGTTATAAATTTTTAAAAGTAATATACAAATTTTGTACTATTCTAGTGGATGTTGATGTTGTGTCAATATCATGCTCAAATATACTTCCTCAGTAAAATTACACAAAAAGTTTTTACATTTAAGAGTACATCAATCAAGTTCTTAAAAACTTTTTACATTCAAAAGTCATTTAACAAATACACCGATCAATAAGAAACGAAAGTGCAAAATATAAATTGTCACCAGGAA